GCATTCGTGCACAGTGAGTTACAGGCAATTAAAGGCAAGCAATGCCACTTGCGTTTCTTTTGGAAGCCACTGTATATCTCTAATTCTTCAGGTTGAAACAATTCAAAGGATTCATCTTTATCATCTCAAACACTGATTTCTAGGACTAATTCAAATAAAATGGAATACTTTTATCAATATGCCGTAGAGTTCTGAATCAGGTCAAATTAACCTGTAACCCGATCTGACCTGACCTGAAAAATTCAGGTTAGGTAGACAAATTTCAGGTCATCATCAGATCAGGTTAAACTTATAACTTAATCTGATAAAATTTAGGTCAACCAATCAAATCAAACAGAATAAAATATTTTTTTTAATTTTTTTTTTTTAAAACATCTTTAATTATTTAATATACTTTCTTTTTATGTTCTAATAAAGTTATTTGTATAATTACTTTATAATTTATTATAATTAAAAAGTTAAATTTTAAATTATATCATTTTTTGCAATTACATTAACCAACAATTTTTTTTATTTATTTAATTACTTTATAGAGATATTTAAACATTTTAGTCAAAGAAAAATGACTTTTATCATGTATGTAAAGTTGGTTAATAGGTTCAAAAATATATACATATTTTTATTAGATTAATAATTATAAAGTTATACATGTTTTTCATAATTGTATTATCTTACAAATTTATTTTTATTTATTTTTATCTGTACAGTAACTTTAAAGAGCAATTTAAGTATTTTGGTCAAAGGAAATCAACTTTGATTACATAAGTAAAATTGTTCAGCAGATTTGAAATATATATATATAAATATTTATTATAATTGGATTAATAGTTGTAAAGTTATAAACATTTTTCATAATTGTATTAGCAGTTACCTGATTTACAAACTTATCATAACTTGTAATTTTAAAAAAAATTTATTATATTAGTAACCTTTTTATTTTTTGTTTGAAAATTTTACTAAAATAATAAAATGTAAAAATGTATTAATGTTTTTTTATATTTTTTTTAAAAAATTTTAAATAAAATTAATAAATGATTAGTTTCATATTCATTATATTATTTTTATAATTAACCTGAAATTACATGATATACAGATTAGGTTAGATCAGATCAAGTCAGATCAAAGATATATTTAATTTAAGTCAATTTTATGTTTAATCTGATCTGACCTTATCAAGTTGAGTTTAAGGTTGCTTGTCTAAACTCAATTTGGATTTGACTAAATGTCTAAACCTTTAGTTTCGCTAATTTTTTACTAAGTGGTTGATATAATTTCACCATTTTTATAAGCTTTGATATAGTTTTACCTTTTTCTGAATTTCGCAGATTTTTTAATAAGATTTTAATATAATTTAACCAAGTTTTACGTTTATTATTTAGACGTCTGTCTAAACTCTTGATTTCACCTAACAACCTTAACCATACATAAAATTATATAGTCTTTTGTTTCATTCTAGACTAATAATAAAGGATTTTATATTATTAATTAAAATAATTACTAATTTAAAATATAAAATATTTAGTAAATAATTATTAGAATTTATTATTATGCTAATTAAAATAATATTAAAATATTATTAATTTTTTTTAAATTTAAATTTTAATCTTTAAAGTAATATATATTAATTATTTATTATTTGATTAAATATTTTGATTATTATTTTGAATTAATTAAAAAGTTAATATAGTTAAATAGATTAAATAAGATTAAAATAGCTAAATTTTAAATTCTAATATTAATAGCTAAATATCAATTTTTATTATAAGCTTTTTTAAATTTTTATATAATTATTAAAAAATATAAATTTTAAATTAACTTATTATATTAATAATTACTTTTATTTTTTTTTAATAATATATTTTTTTTATTATATAGGTGCTTATCAATAAAAAGAAAGAAAATCTAAAAAAAATTAAAATTTTATTTATATTTTAAATATAATTTCATTAGTAAAATAAGTCTAGATTTATATTAACTCATAAAAAAGTTATTTTTAGATTTTCTTCCTTTCTACTGGAAAGCTTCCATATTATTTAAATTTAAATTTTTATTTTTTAGCTAAATAAGATAATTTATATAATAAAATTATTAAATCTTATCAAAATATCAAAAAGTATTAAAATTATAAGTATTATTAAAACTATTATTTAGTTTATTTGTTATATAATATTATCAAAAGAATCAGATTAATTATCATGATAAAATATTATAAAATTAACGTTAAAGTTAATATTATATTAAATTAAATATTTTATCAATAGTTAGAATTTTTTATTATCGTTATGTCTTCTAATAATATAATAGTAGAAATGTTTTTTTGAATTAAAAATAATATTGTTTATGTATGCTTATTTTAACATTAAAGAAAAAATTTTATATTATAAAAAACACTTATTTGTGTATAACCATAGTATAATACTGAAAGATAGAATTTTTATTTTTATAAAAGAATTTAATCAATCAATCCAAAATTATAAACTTTGAAACATCATATTTCGCCACCACATCTGTCTTGGATGCGAAATTATTCCCTCTAAAGTTTAGGCCAAAATTAATTTGCAGTGGTGAAGGAAATTCTCTATTAGAACTCATCTCATTTAATGCGCGTCATTTAAATGAAGCTGCGTCATACATAAATCTATAACGAGAAAAATTAAATGTATAAAATTCATTATAAATGCTATATTCGATAAACATCTTTGTTTCACCATTTACACGTCGTGCAAAAAATTTAATTAAACTTTTTTTATAATAAACGACATTCTTTCACCGCGAAAAAAAAATTTTCTTTTTTTTCTAATTAGTTTAGCTTTAACTGATGATTTTTTTTAAACTCGTGTAATTATTAGAATTACAAACAGGAGTTGCTTGCATTTGTTATATGCAGAACGAGTGTTACCTGTACATAACGCATACTTCCATGTTATAGTGTTTTCTTCTTTTTTTTTGTTCATTCTCAAAAAAAAAAAATAGAATTGTACGATAAATAATTTCAATAAGAAAATGCATAATATTCAAATTCTTCATTTTAATGATGTTTATCATCTTTCTCCACAAAAACATGAGCCTGTTGGAGGAGCAGCACGGTTTGCTACTAGGGTAAAAGAATTTCGTGCAAAATATGGTCTCGATTCTTCATGTGTACTATTCAGTGGTGATCTTTTTAATCCTTCGGTTGAAAGTAGTATCAGTAAAGGCGAACATATGGCATTGTATCAAAATCAATTTTTTTTTTAAAAAAATATTTTTACGTGTATTTTATTGATATAATAATTGACGTTGAATTAATTTGGCTCTTTTCTCTTATTCCGTTCATTTTTTACGTGATTTTGCATTTTCAAATAATTATACGAAATCAAAGATCCCAGCAGTTAATGATCTCGGTGTCGACGTTGCCTGCTTTGGTAATCATGACTTTGATTTTGGATTACCAACTCTTAAATCATTAGCTGGTATGACCAATTTCCCTTGGTTATTATCGAATGTTCTCGATTCGGAAAGTGGAAATCCAGTTGCAGGGGGGAAAAAATTTCATATCTTGGAGAAAAACGGTCTTAAACTCGGAATTATCGGTTTAGTCGAAAAGTAAGTATAATGAAATTGTTGATCATAAAAAAATTTTAACAATTTTTTTTTTTTAGAGAATGGTTGGAAACTATTCCCGGGTATGTTATATATTATATATTATATACAATGAAAATTTCTTTTATGTTCTTGATTACTCATGCAATGTAAAAATTAGTCTTCCGTCAACATTGGAATATAAAGATTTTATTGCTGTTGGAAAGGAACTTGCTGCGAAATTACGTGATCCAAATGGTCCTTATGCAGTAGATCTTGTTATAGCTCTAACTCATTCGCGTCTACCAAATGACATTTTGTTAGCGAGAGAAACTCAAGACGAGGTCGATTTGATTCTTGGAGGGTAAAAGATTTTTTTTTAATATTTCGTATAATTTAATTATATAATTTAATTAATTTATCCTTTTATTTGTAACAGTCACGATCATTTTTATTATGTTGGAAAAGGTTGTGAAGTTATCAATGGATGGACGAGAGAAGAAGTAGCAGGAAGTGAAAAAGATAATGGAGTACGCGTTGTTAAGAGCGGAACGGATTTTCGAGAATTAAGTATTTTAGAATGTGGCGTTGATGAAATCGATAACGAAGAAGGCGGAACTATAAAGATAGTTAAAAATTTAACGGGTTAGTGCAAAGTTAACTAGTTAACATTTTTTAAGGAAAAGTTTTCATTTGCTTAAATTCAATTTATTACTACGTGCTCAGTTACGCGTCAAGAAATTACATCAACAGTTGATGAAGATCCTCATTTCGCAGAGTTAATCACTGCCACTACATCTGGTATCACAGAAAAGATGTCCAAGTATAAACTTTTTATTTATAAATTATAATATATAATTTAATTTTAAATAATTTTTTTTAAACGTTTGAATTTTGTATTATTAGGCCCGTAGCTTATACATTAACACCATGGGTATCAGAACAATTTATCATATTACAACTTTACGTATTTAAATATTTTTAGTTCATGGTAAACAAGCGATCCAATACTATCAATTTGTAGGATTGTCGTTCAACAATGCTTCGCACTCAAGAAACTGCATTTGGGAACTTTGTGGCTGATCTGATGTTATACGCGTATCAATCATGTTACCATATAGATTGTTCAATGTTATGTGGAGGTTCTGTACGTTCAGACACAATTTATCCACCAGGAGTAATTACTTTGGGTGATTTGCTTGAAATTTTCCCCTTCGAAGATACAGTAGTTGTTATTAAAATTACGGGAAAACAATTGTGGGATGCTTTGGAAAATTCGGTTTCAATGGTACCTAAACAAGAAGGGAGATTCCCGATAGTGAGTGGTTTGAAAATAGAATATAATCCAAAAGCTGATCCAGGAAGTCGTTTGAGAAATGTTTGGTTAACGGAGAGATGTCAACCTACGCCAATGGAGGAAAGTGAAAAACAAGACCTTGATAATGATTCGGAAGAAAATGCACCAAATATTATCATAGAAAAACTAAATCACCAAAAAACTTACACCGTTTGTACTCGCGGATATATGGCGTCCGGTTATGACGGGTATACTGCTCTCGCTAAACCTACAACAAAATTCCTTGTTGATGATGAGAATGGTATTCTACTCTCTACTTTAGTCCGTCGATATTTTCTTGGTCTTTATTATATTAATGCTATGAAATTCAATCAAAGCTGTGAAGATAGAGCCAAAGAAGCAGTATTAAAAGCGATAGCAACTTGGAAAAAATTGGCAGAAACTAAACGTGAAAAAAATGCTCATAAAAACGTTTTAAGCCGTAATATTCAGGAAGCGTTAAATGTTTCATTAGGTGAAACTATTGAAGTACAAGATGATGACCCATCTAGTAACAATAATCATACCGATTTTGTAAAAGATTGGGTAACAGTTGCTCCAATGATTGAAGATAGAATTGTTTCTGTGGATTCTTAATTTAGAATCACATCAAAAAATGTTTAATTAAATTAAATATTTTATTTATTACTTATGAAAATTGTCTTAAAATTATTTAAATTAATTTTCTCAAGTATATTTTTATAAACGTCTAACAAATGTCCATCCTTTTCTGGAATATATATATATATATATATAATTTTTGGCTTTAGTTTTTAATTACAATACGCTGAGAAATTTCAATAATTGTTATCAACTTATTGATTTTTTGATTTATTTGATAAACTCCATCTAATTTATTCTTATATCGTAACTTATTGATTAGAGAATAATTCGGAGAACCATCTCGGATATTAGTCACGAGAGAATCTGAAACCTGCTTAACTTCATTCCTTAAATTTATAAGGATTACCTCTAATCCGATTGCTCTCCAAAGTCGAGATGTTGACATAACAATTTTAAAAACCTCTATTGTTTCAAGATTCTCAAATATATGAATTAAGATTTCAATCGGTAGTGTTAGAATTTCTGGCCGGTTTTGCTGCGGTTGATCTGTTTGTATTATTTGCTGTTGCACATTCTCAGCCGAATTTTCGATCGTAACTGATTTTTCCAAACGCGTCTTAATTTCCGTAGCTTTTAAAATAAGATTTGTCGCGTTATATTCAACTGTTGCACGATAATCATGCAAATAATTTAACAAGTCTTTGTATCCGTAAAAGCCAGGACCACGTCCGAAAAAGATGGGATGAACTGCAAGTGTAGTTGGCTTTATGTGGGCGATGCATGGCCATATCTCTTCACGAGACATCCTTTGATAATAGTTGATATCAATGAAGAATTTCATTCAAAAGTGTGATGAATTGGTTATGATAAAAACCCCTCGTTAAAAAATGATTGATTACAGTGAAAAATGATTAGGGGATCATAAATCGAAATAGATAAAATACCTTAAGCCAATCGAAGTAGCAAGCGAAAGGTCTTCATCTACAATGAAATGATATGGGAAATGTGAAAAATTGCAACTACTTCGTATTTGCAAAACTTCTCTAACTGGTCCTGGACAAATTATTATGAAAAAAGCATCTTGTCTAAGGAGAAGGCGGTAAAACTAAGTTTGAATGTAATATTAGTAATTAAGATAATTTAATAAAAACAAAATACTTATTTTGATTGTACATACAGTAATCTCTTCTTGAGGTACAGTTATAATTGTTCTATCAAAAGCGTCGCGAAACGAAGATGGTGGGTCATCATGCAACCCATGAAGGTTTAATATATACAAAAGTTGAGGACAAACAGGGCACCACGTTGCCTTATAATGAATAAGAGTCATTTATGTTAAAAAAAAAAGAGAAGGAAAAAAGTTCTTGGGCAAATGTAAATAGAAAGTGAGAAAAAAAGTGGGTTGTATTTATTGAATTTTTCACCTTCAACGTAATAAAGATCAAAACGTAACGCCTAGAAAGTTCATAGACGTTAACGTTGGAACCATCGAGGTCCACAAGAGTTTTAGGGAAATTAACGGTTGTGTCCATTGTAAAAAAAAAAAATATAATATAATGTAAAAAGGGAATGTAGAAATTGGGGGAAATTTTCAAAAAACTGTTCATTTATAAACATTGTATCATGTGATCCTTATCATGCAGGAAAAAAATTCGCAATTTCGCGTGCTCTTATCTTACATGATTAAACAATAGAGTTAAAAAGCAGTTTAACAAAACTAGTTAGTTGTGGCTTATGATTAACCTAATTTTTAATGAATTGAAGCTGTATCTTTAGATTAAAGATATATATTTATCCGTTGAGTATAAAGATGCGTTCATAGTAACAAAAAATAGAAAAACCCCTATTGACGTATTTGTATGAAATACGAGATAAGAGCTATGAATTTCAAATTATGTGACAGAGGTGAAGCATATCATCTGATTTCTACAGAATTTATTTGCAGGAAACTTGTTTTTAGTCACTAATTTGGACTTGATGGATCATTATGACTGGCAAATGACTCAAATGACGAATGACAAATGATTGGTCATTTGGATGTTCAAATGACCAATCATTTCAATTATTTTTATTATAGTATAATTTGTATTTTTATTATTTATTTTGTTTATTATAATATAAAAAAAATCAAATTTATTAATTATTTATATTTAATAAAGGAATTTACCTAATATTCAAGGGGGGGTTTGGGGGTATTAAGATCAAAATGTATATACATTTATATATGTAAGAAAAAAGAATTAACTTGATACTTCTAAACCAGTGTACAAATCAGAATTTAGCATATACCGGTTAATTATCTGATATAAAAAAAGATTCCGGATTTTTTCTAAAAAATTTTAAAGTTATCCGGTATATATTTAAATTTTTCGGATTTTATATAAATTTATTAAAATATATAAATTTTTAATATTTAATATTTAAATCTTTATTTAATAATATATAATGAAAAACTAATAACAAAACTAATTTTTAAACTCTTCTATTACGCATTTTTAACCAAATTGTAAGCACTTGATTAAAATCAAAATCTTCTATTTATACATCATTTAAACTAACTAATAATAATAAATAAAGAGTATTATTACTAAGCCTATTATGAAGATCTGTTTTAATGATATTTTGTTTAGAAAATCTGCGTTCACATTCTACATTAGAAAAGGGAATACTATAAATAATTTCTATAAGTTTCATTATATTAGAATACGTAGTTGAATAATTTTCAAATAAATGAGAAAAAAATTCTTCAATATTAAAATTTTGGTAATTTCAATAAATAATTTCCTTAAAAAGATACCATTCGTTTCTTATATTTTCAGAATCAATTATTGGAATAGGATAATTTGACGAATAAGATTTTTCATAAAATCTAATCAATTCTTCTAATTCTGCATCTCCAAATTTTATCAACTCCTCTTTATTTCTTGGCTATTCTTTTGGATTAAGTATTTGCATTGTATTTAATAATGGACGATCTGGAAATTTTTTTGAATTTCCAAAATTACTAAAGAAGCAAATCTAAAAATATCTGCCATTAATTCACTTTCATAATTTTCAGTTAATATTAATTGATGTGTACTTATAAATGATGGAGAGAATGGTGGAATTTGTTGAATAAATTGTTTTAAATTAAATCCTAAATTTAAATTTCCCTTATCATTTTGCTCCAAGTATTCATATGGTATTTTTTTGAATTGTTGCATTAATTGTTACATCTATATCAGAAAATCGAATATATCTTTCTTGAAATATTTTACTAAGTTTAGCAATATATCCCAAAATATCATATAAAAAGTGAAAAAATGCTAAAAGTTTCCAATTACATAACTCATCATAAAGTGCTATAATTAAAGTTATACATAAATTCTTTACAGTCTCAAAAGATGAAAGCCATCAGATATCAAAAATTTTACGAATCTTGATTTCTGACTTATTTAAAAATTTCTGATAACCATGCAGTATATCTATTCTTTTATTTGATTTGCTAAAAAACTTATAATATCTTTTTATTATTTGTTCAGCTTTTTTGCAAAAATTAACTTGTCTATAAACACTTTCAGATACTAATGATAATCTATATACAATACAATGAGTAATGAAAAAATATGGATTGTTTTTTACAATATTAACAGCTATACCATTATTTTCTCCCATCATTACACTTGCACCATCTAATACAAATAACATTATTTTATTAGTCAAATCTAAATTTTTATATAATATTTATATTAATATTATAAATATATAAAATAAAATTTAAATCCAATAAATTAACTTATATTTTTTATCAAACAATGCAATTATTGCATTATAAATTATTTGTGCATCAGCACTTTCTAATTGTAATAATTTTAAATATTGAACCTTTATCATCCTATATAAACAGTATTTAATATATAATATAACATGTGATTCGGTTGCAATATCGGTACTTTCATCTAACATTATTCCAAAAGCTGAACAAGTTTCTAAATCTCGCTAAATTTTGTCTTCAATTGTTTGAGCAAAAGCATCTAACATTTCAAGACTAGTAGCATGATTATCATACATTAAACCATTATCATTACTAGATTTAATATATGGTACTCCAATAAATCGTGAAAAATTGATAAAACTTTTAAGTTTATGTAAAGGAACATTTTCAGATGTTAACCAAAAAATCAGTTTCATTACTTGAATTATATGTTGATGAGCTTTATTAATAGCGTTATTTGTAACAGTTTTTATTGCCCTTTTTGATTTTCTAATTGAAAAGTTTTTTCATGTTGCTTAGTACTAGCATATTCAGATAGTACACTAATTTTAAAATTTTTTTGATCCTATACATTAGAGGAAAATAATCAGATAAATAAATTTAATATATTGTAAGAAAATACATATATAATCGAATTTAAAAATACCTTTTGTTGCTTTAGCAAATTCATTTTTTTGACTATGAGCCATACATAATGTATAGAATATTCTATTCTTATTTACATCATAAAGTACTCAAGAATATTGATCCTTCTAAGAAGCATAATATGTATTTTGTATTTTCTTTGAAACCTAACTTTTTTTTTAGAATTACTAATATGACGAGGTGAAATAGGAGCTTTAGCTTTTCATTTGTTATTTTTAAGTGAAGAAACTACATATTTTTTAATGCCTTCATTACTGGAATTATTTGCTTTAGTTGAACTTTGTTCTAAATTATTATCGGAGATATCGCTAAAGAATATAAAATAAAGTTAAATTAATTGAAATAAAAGTAAATTTAGTTATACATTTAAATTTAAAACTAGATACTTACTATTCAACTCCAGAACTTTCATCTTGGTTGGAAGAAACCAACTGTATTTCATCAGTCGTCTTAAAATATTTAATAAAGACATTACATATGAGAAAAGTTTCTGATTATCAAATTGTACAAATTACGAATATGTTACATATGATCTGGCCTATAAAAAAAATCCAGCCAATAACAATCCGAACAATTTTAAATTTTCCAGTTTCAGATAAATATCTAAAAATTTGTTATGATTATATTTTTATATATTACTATAATTATAAAAGGGTATTTTCTTATTTAACAAATTAAATTATAATATGATTAAAGAGGTGTGTGATTATATAGGAAGTGACTATAGAAGGGGTTGACTACATACATATAAGCTTATGATACCCATAGAACTTGAAGTCTTTGATAGAATAGACAGACCTATTATAAGCACTGTCCATAGAAATTCTATGTTAACCAAATAATAGCATCCAAGAATGATTTCTGATGCACTTTTCATATCATCTAAAGTTTGAGGTTTCTGGTCTTTTGATGTCTTTCATTTATTGTCAAGATAACAAACAATTCAAGTCCACAACATGATTTTCCTGAATAATTGAAATTTAAAATTGCTAATTTGAAGACAAGGATTCGATAGTTTGTCTTTGCTGTAATACTTGCTTTTTTTATAGCTTTATGTTTATCTAAAGCATTACAAAATTCTCATTAATTACATTAAAATCTTACTCAAAGTTACATTGTTTTAGGATCATAGATTTGGAATTTTTTTCGTTCTCCTATTGTTATATGAATTCTCCAAAATTTTTGTCATAGTTTCTTCAATCAATGTCATTATACCTATAAATGATAAGAAAGTACATATTAATAAATATTAATTATGATTATAAAAAAATGATATAGATATGAAGAAAAAAGAAAAAAAATCACAAGTTTATTAAGTTGACTAAATTCACCTACCGACGAAAAAAAATATGATATAACATGATGAGAACAGGGCATATCTATAATAATGTGTACAAGATCTTTAGACAGTGCTTGATTTTTAGGCTAGTAATTAACTATTTTTCACATATTCTTCATTAAAACTACATTTCCATTCTCATCCTCATCATCTTTGAAGTGTGAATTGAATATCAAAAATATGTCCGTCATCAACAAGGTTCCATAACTTAAATCTATCTAAAGTGAAGTTGCCATATTCAGGTTTTCTAGATTCTTAATAATTTTCTCGATTATCCCTTCCTATAGTAATGTCAAAAATAGAAGTACTTTCTCAAACTTAACAACAAAGTAGAATATGTTATGCTAGAAATCGCAACAGTAAACATTATTTGTTTTTTTATTGAATTAGGAATGTTTTTTATTTAAGATCACACAGATTAATCGATCAATTGAACAGAATTTTCACCCACATGATCTTATAATTTAAAATATAGGGTAATTAAAAAAAAATTATTTTTTTCTATAATAATTAAACTACTGTACCTATAATATATTGCATTACTGCGCATACAATAAACCCGCTTAAAAAGATATTATCATTAAAAAATTCAAAATTTTCAAGTGATGAAAATGACAAGAGCGATATTTTTATATGCCAGTAAAATCAATGATCTGTTGTGATTTTATTGGTAAGACTCCTAAAGTCCTAATTTAAATTGTTAATATCATGTATCATTTAACTGAAAATTTTATGAAGAAACGCTTTCTGAAATAAGAAAAGAAGAACGAAAGCTAATAATCAGATACAAATCATGCATTGTAATTTTCTGAAACTATTCCTATGATAATCTAGCAAACTCCCCAAGAAAGTTAATAAAGTCAGAAGTGATCTTTTATAGAATCATGCTGGATGATTTATTAGTAGTAGCTTTTAATTTAATTGACTTAACATAATAAAAAATGTCAGGATAAAATGATAGTAAAATAATAGTAATCGGCGATTACTTCACAGTTCAAGGTAAGCAATGCATAAGTGAATATTTTGTCATTCGTGAAAAAATCTACTGATCAAATAAATGCATTGCTTACTTTGAACTGTGAAATAATTTTTTTTTATAATATTATTATTGATTTTACAAATTAAGATCTCGTAGAAAAAAGCATATCAATATTTACATATAATATTGCATATAATTTTTTTCAGAGATAAAGTTTAAAAAAATCATAATGTACTAAATTAGATCCCAAAATACAAATTAATTATTATTTGAACGTGAAGGGATTTATTTCCTTGCTTTGCAAAGCAAAAGGATAATGGGGTTGGATCTAAAGTTGAATATAGAAATTACAATTAAATTACTATATCTATTTAAAAAGCAAGGATAAAATAATGATAGGATTATATATACCGATCTTGCTGAGAAACTCCAGGAATTAAATACTGTAAATATAAATTAGAAAGTACTGATTCTAGCACGTTGATAGACATCAAATCTAAGTTTAATTTGCTGTCTGGAATTAATTTAAAATTCCAAATAAAATTTTTTTATTTATTACAAAAAATTATAAGATGTAATTAAACGAAAGTTTTAATATGTAACTTTTTTTTGCGAGGAGTTCCATATTAGTTGTTGGGGGATTTTTGGATGAAGAGTAATAGAATAAAAAATGTAATATTTCTTAAAAGCTAAAAATTTGTAATTTTTAAAAAAAATTTATTTTAAAAAATTTTATGATTAATCTATGATAAACATTTTAGAATTTTCTTTTAACTATATTAATCATAATAGAATATTATAAAATTACTTATAAAGAAAAACATTTATTATTATAATTTTATAAAGTATTAAGAAATTTTATGACTTTAATTAATATTCAATTAGTATGCAAACATATAAATTTTTAAAGAATTTTTAAAAATTATTATAATAAATTTTTTGAAACTTAATT